GAAGGGTTGCTTTGTTATGTGTACATAGACCTGGACTGACCCTCTTCTACTCCCCATCCCCACAATATGGGTGTTTGGCTCCTGTCTAGACTACCTGTCCCTTTCACAAGCTCTTAATAGCCAAATCTGTGCTTATCAACCTATGTGCCACTGAGGAGACATCCTTGTAGCTGAATCTGTAGTTTAAGTCCAGGCAGCCATGCCATGTGATTGATCTAAGAATTACTAGTGATAATCCTGCAGAGTGAAAGTTAACAGGTAAGCAATAATGAGGACATTCGAGTGCCACATTTTTGTAGTATCTGTAAAAGATCTTCAAGCATACTGAAAAGGTTTTTTCAACTAATTACAGATATATATATTTTTTCGGTGGAAAGGCAACACTAATCTCCATTCTTTTTTAATGAAATGGCCCTCGAAATTGTATGGTGGTATGGGTGAAGCTAGCAGCACCAACACAGAGGGGAGGGGAAGGAATCCAGCTTGACCATGAATATTCCCCAGGCAAGCAGCCAATCAGAATCACAACTGTATACAAAAATGTTCAAACGCTGCAAACTTTACACATTTCACAGTAAGGTAAAGTGTATTATAAAATCATTTCTGCTGACTTACTCCCACTTCTGTGGCTTTTCTTTTTTTTAGTGAACATGACGACAGGTTCAATTTAAGCAATACATTTAAAGTGGAGTATTAAAATATATCGAAAAAATCTGGTTAAAGAGCCAATTCATTCAAAAGGGACCAGGGGAACCTGGTGGGCTCAGTCATCCCCCGGATTAAGTGTCTTGGTTTCTCCAACAGTGAGAATTTCCCCACTTCCTGTCCACCTGGTAGATTTAGGTATTCCACCCATCTTTGTGTCTTTCAGCTCCTCCTTTTTTTCTCCATAATATAAAATGAATACAAATCCAGCAGGAAGAGTGGTAACCCCTCATAATGGGCACAGTAGGAATGCAGACTAAGTACAGAGCACCCAGAGTACAGAGTACCCTAAGTACTAAGTACAGAGACCCCATCAATAGAGCCTCGGAGAGCTATAACAAACTGTCAGGTGATTTGATTCTTCGCCATCTACCAAAAACTGAAGTATCAATATTGGGTGGACTGACCCTTTAACCCAAATGATGGGATTTTATTGCACCAGTTCTCCACAACCGTATTGTTTGGGTATACCATGTCAACAGCAAAATGACCATGGGTATGTCGCCGTATGTTTACCTTTGTTCCTTACTTATTTGGCTTATTAGACCAGATCTCCAACTCACATCCAAAGTCCTCTACTCTTTCCTGTCTGCATGTTAAAGTATGACTATGGTGTAAAAGTAAAAATGTAATGCAAAATGATAAGTTCAGTAACAGAGTGGCGTTCATTTAAGCAAGTTCGCTCTGTAACACCAAAAAGGTATCTTTGATGGGTGGATTGGCCAGTCTCTGTCCTCACTTCCAGTAGTCAAGTGCACTGCAGCTCAGACATACAAATATTACTGTTGTCACTCTTGTGTCGGCTGAATTCACTGGAACATCACTACAAGGAGGTAACGTCACCTCAGCCTGGGCTTTCAACTGCAGTCAATGCTGCCCCTTGCTTTGCAATTAACACTTGATCACACTCATAACCCTGCCTAGTCCTACTCACTAGACTGGGGGAAGCCAAAACTGTGGCCCTCCTGCTATGGTGCAACTACAAATACCATGAGGCATTGCAAGACCCTGACAGCCACAGGCATGACTCTCAGAGACAGATGCATCATGGTATTGGTAGTTTTATGACAGCTGGATGGCCGGAGTTTGCCTACCCCTGAACTAGATAATGCCTAGCCATGCCTATCCTCACCAATTACCAAAAGGAATCATGGGATACATAGTACAGGCAGCAGACTAGCAGAGTTATGGGAAATGATGTCATAGTGCTGCCTAAGCCTGCCCAGCATCGTCTTCAGAAATGAGGAACAGGAGCGAGCATGGCTGATGACACAATTCATTTATACTTCTTTAATGAGGCAGGAAACATTTTCAGGTAAACTCTGAGCAGACAATAACTTATTACAGAGATTCCAGCCACTTACATGAACTGACTCGTGTTGTCTTTAGTTGTACTTTAACTTGCATTTTTGCAATAAGTAGAACGGTAAAGAGAGTAAGAATCACCACTTCTAATTTCATCCAGATTTCCTCTTATCTCTCTCTATGGGGCCTTTGAAACTTAACACCAGGCAGATATACAAGACACAAATTGATGCAGCTCTGTATCCATTAATAAATTCCTTCACATATATTTTCAAAAAGCATTGGAACTATCAGAATTTAAGTTGGCTTTTACGTGTTTTTACCCCCTCCACAGTGGGACACAGACTGGGACAGAGAGCTTGTTGTGCTGCATACAAATGTGCTGGTAAGAAAAACGCTGATAGGAGAGAGCAAAAAGAGTGTACAGATCTTTAAATCCATCTCTGCTCTATTAAAGTCCAATCACAGGCTTGGGATTAGGAGATGACACCACTGAATTCCTAGAAGGACTGAGAATGTGGTGTCATCCTTTCCTCTCTTCTGTCTGGCAAAGCTGTGTAGATCTCAGAACTGGATGGAAAGAAATACAAATCCTTTGAAGGGTAAAGCAGCTCTCTTATATGCACATCGTTTATGTATTTAGCCATTTGCTTTGAATTCAGCTTTTATTTGTGCAGGCATTGAAGGCATGCTCTCAGGCATGCTCCCAGACATGTATATTTACCCAGTTATGCTCCTTCCCCACCTGCAGCATATCTACCTGTCTAAGCTTCGATGTCAACTGATGTTCTTACTGATGTTCTGATGTCTTGGAACTTTTGGATTTTGATGGGCCTGAGATTCTGAGATTGAGAGCGGTCAAAATGGAGGGCATGGTTGGTTTGCATTTTGTGTGCTGCAGCAAATTGCAGAGTTTATCAGTGGCTTACATAGGGGCTGATTTATAAAGGGTTTGCCTAGTGTACAGCTGGGTGAACACTGTTCACATGATATTACTGCTCCTAGATCAGCCTTACTGAACCATGGTGCCATGGCACACCAAGGTGCCTTCTGACATCCTTAGGGGGGCCTAGAAATTTTATAACGGTAGAACTCTGAAGGGGGATTTACATATCAAAGGGGGGCTCTGATGTAAGTGGAGCTCCTGATGTGAAAGGTGGGGTTTCTGATATGAAAGGAGGGAGCTTCTAATGTAAAGGGGGACTGTGATGGGAAAAAGAGGATTCTGATGTAAAGGGCTACTGATATGAAAGGGGTTCCTGATTTGAAGGGACCACTTTTTTGTGTGTTTTTCCCTGGAGGCACCCCTCTTACATTTTAGACTGGGTGCCTGAAGATTTTGCATGCTTTCTAAGGGTGCTGTGAGTGAAAAATGGTTGAGAACTGCTGCTCTAGATTAAGCCGAGGAGCACAGGAAAATTCTCTGCTCCTTGGCTCCATCTAGCAGCAGTAATGCAGAGTGAGCCCAGCTTTACGTTGGGTGAACCCTTTATATATCGGTCCTATAGTGTTTTGTGGCAAAATATGGGGCTAACAATGCAAACAGCACTGACTTGACAATAAGCATACCAAAGAATGGCAAACCTAACAACACCTGGCCAACAAACATGCAATTGTTACAACATGTCGGCAACAAACTGGCAATACAGACAATATATAAACAACAAATGGGCAGCTGTCACAATATGAGGGCAAATAATGGCCAACTGCAACAACATAAAGACATTAGGGCCTGGGCCTGAGCCACAACTATGGCGGGAGGATGCTTTAGATAGCTGTAGTAGAATGAACAAACAGCAATGCATGTAATACATACAGGCTAGTTCGGACTGCTGTATAGGACATATAGAGTTAAACAACACAGTGCTGGCTAGGTTGGAGAAATTAAATTACAAATACACATACCGGCCTGGACAATGCACATCTTTCACAGGCAGGTCATTGTAGGAATGTGTATAGAGCTGTCCTGTATCTTCATTCATTTGGATTTCCCTGCTCTGCCTGCTGCCCTTGCATTGTAGCTAAAGGGAGGTGAAGGCAGAATAATCAGCCCGCCATTCCTCCATGCTCCATTCTTCTTCAGTAGACCTCTCTCGCTGCTGCCAATAATAATGTTCTACTATGTCGACTGACAGCGGTGACACCAAAGTCCGTGCTCTTGGTCAACTTACAAAAGCTAATAATTAGAGCTGGGAACTCAGAGATCCAGAAAGCTGGCTGCTTATCCAGAATCTCCAGACCAGATCCAGTAAGTTCCAAGCTATGCTAATGTTGGAGCTTAGATATGGGGATGATGTCATGGCACCCCCCACCCCCCTCCCACAAGACAGTGTTCAGGCTTAGTGGCTGGTGTCTCAGGCCTGAGCACTCTTACACAGGGGTGGTCACGTGCATCCCTATTCCTGGAAATGTAATGTAATCAAGGCTACATAGGCGTCACTTTATATAAGGCAGTCCAGGAGCAGTGTTTTCATAATTCATTGCAAAAAAAAGAATACCTTTTTAGTCCGAATTATAAAATAATTTTAAAATGAAGACATTTGTGCTGTTGGTTCATGCAATTGGTAACGACCAGTCCACATTAGCCATTGTGGAATTTTTTTTGGACAACATTTCAATCCCCCGATTGGTCTTATTTGCTGCCTGGAGATGGTTTGCTGGAATCTTTTGCCAAAATAGCTTAGACTGTTCTCCCATGAACCGTTGCTTGCTTCCATGTGATTAAGACAAGGTAACATCACTCCACAAACGATTAATGTTGCCAAAACCCTGTTTATCCACCTCAAAGACCTGAATGGGAACTTCTAATGTAGCATCTTAATATCCAGTGCTTAGTTCTTTACTCAGCTATTCCATTGCATGAGGAACATCAGATGACTTCTTCCTAGACATTATGGAGCTTCCACCAATCAAAGTTCTTCCGTGGTTTTTCAGCCAGTTTGATGCACCATTGTGTTCTTCCTTCACCAGGCTGGTCACTGTTTGTTATGTTATAAAATGATAAATAATGATTTGTGATTTTTAAATCTGCAAAATTGACGCTCTGGTGTCCTGTGGAGGCAAATTGCAACCTTCAAGTTTATAGTCCTTTTACAGATCCATAGGGTATATCCCTCTAGACATCACTCTGTGATGAAGCTAAAAGAGGAAAAGAGACATAAAAGTGAATCTATCATTTTATGTTTGCCTTTTTTTCTTTAGATATGTAAATGAACTATCAAAACTGTGCTTATTGAGGCAAGCGCTGAAGCAAGTAATGTGAAAGACCACAGTGAAGGAAACACAGCTATTTAAAGGCAATCTGTCATGTGGCCAAAAGGAGACATAGAAATAATAATGCTGTACAGATGACTCCATAAAGAACCAGCTTCTACCATCACTGAGCTCCACCTGCCTCTCCATAATCCGCAGCTGGGGTACCAGTAAGAAAGTAGAAGTTATAGGTATGAGGCACGTCTGTATGTTATCACCGCCCACACCATAATACCGCATACCACTAACAGGGTTATTCACAAAAGGGTGAATAGTTTGGAGAAGGCCGGAGAAGGGAACAATCTAGGACAACACAGAATATTTGGAAAAATTCTCCAATTCAGCTCACTTTCCAGTTCAGCTATGTTGTCCTAGATTGTTCACTTATCCTGCCTTTTCCAAACCCTTCACCCTTTTCTCATAACATGCAAGCATTACGTTTAATAATGTGACACTAAACTCAGGAGTTTAGTGTCCCTAACTATTAACCATATTGTCCAAGTTTGTTGTTTATACTTGAACATTATGGCTAGAGTTTCCCCTGTGGCATGTGGTTTGGTCTGTCTTTAATGGCTTCTTAATGTTTTGAAGGACTTAGAAGAAAAGCTACTCCAGGCTTTACTCAGGACAGGTTTCCTTTAAGGGAAGTCAGCATCCTTTTGAAGGAAAAGCTTCAATTATTGTTTTGTGCCACGGGATACAAACACCTCTATATATTTCTTCAGTAAAAGTAATCGGCGTAATAATACACAAGTACCTATTTTTCAGTGCTGAAAAAAACAGCCTACTTGTTTCCAACACAATGAGACTTCATTATGCTGAATAAAACAACACGAAATCAGGTTTCTAAGGCAATAATTACACTTGAAAAAAGAAGAAGTGTTATTGTTTTTAATGGAACAAAACAGGCTTCCACTGAAGGTAATCATACCTTTTGGGTCAGATGCAATCAGTATTTGTGCCTGTGGTTCAGTATTAGGACACGTGTTTTATCTGTGCTGCTGACTGGACAGGGCTAAATAAGAACTTGGCATGGAATGACTCCCCAGCCCTGTAATTTCAAGCAACACCGGCATACATACTGTGTATGTAAGTCCAGACAAACATAAAATAACACCATCTAATTAATTTTGTACTCACTAAAAATCATAAAGGCCCTTTTACATTGTTACGTATTAACACACGTGTTCCGATGCACTAGAGCGCATTTGTGTGGTCGGTTCCTTCTAATAAATATAATGGCTGTTCCCATCTCAGTGCTGCAAAAAATATTAAATCTCTGATTTTCTTCTGCATTTTTGTGACCTAGGTAGGTTGACCAAAAGTCACTGCTTTCACGAGGCTGGCCCGGGAAAAATGTGTCCCTGGTTGTGCCCCCATTTAAAAAAAAAGTCCCTGGCCTAGGAGCCATGTGGGATTCTGCCTGGGAACTTTTCTCTAGTTTTATATTTCAAAATGATTTGAATCTGGACAGAATGACATATTGTACAATGGTGTCACTACCTTGGCTATGTAATGTGGAATGGGTATTTGAATCTGGACAGAGCTGTGTCCGGTTTGTCAAGGAAAGCAGTTCACTCAAACATACATCAGCTCGGTGTGGAAACATGTTAAACTAACTAGAGAATGCTTGCATTACTAAGATATCTTTTTGTCTTAGGGAAAATTACGTCTTCTTTTAATCTCTGCATATGATTGGATATTTGTTGACTCAACTGCACTCCACCTGATGTCATACTCTATGACTCAACATATACACTAATTTTCCCAATTGTCATTGAATCTCTAGGCTTGTCTGTGTACATTGACAACAGAGCTAACTATGCAGTTCAACAAACAGAGGCGGCCAACACCTGTTAATGCTATGTGGGAAAGGAAACCTTGCATAAGTAGAATGAAGGAGCACCTACATTTCATACCAGATCATCCGTGCAGTCATCCTGTGCAAGATCTTCTCCATCGTCTCCATTTAGGGGTTCATCTGTGGCTGTATCTCCGGCTTCTGATGTGCTGTCGTCCTGGGAGAATTCACTTCGGCTGCAGTCAGACTTCTTTCTTGATGTAATGGCTGAAGTAAAGAGGAAGACATCTAGGAACGGTCATCTTACTGAATGTTGGGTAGCTCTGTACTATACACATGAGATAATGTACCTCCTACTGTAAGAGTTTCACCAAGGAGTTATTTGATGGTCATGTACTACACAAGGCTGAATTTGTCTGGCCACAGAACTTCTTCATCAGTCCTAATATCATTATATTCTTCTCTAATAAATGGAGAAGGTCAGTGACGATGGCAGTTTGGTTGGAACCTCAAGCTTGACCTCTCATACCTGTGCCAGAGATATTAGTGAAGCTTCACTCTGAGTACAAAACAGTTCAGACCTGCCATGGATCTGAACCTTGACCCACTCTATCTAAAATGGACAAGTATGACCTGTATTATATTGCTCCACTAATTTTGTAACATCAATAAAGAAATTGAATCTTAAATGGTGGAAAATATGCATGTGTAAGAACCTGAATCTCCACTCTTTAAGCCAATGTATTTTTTGTGTTTGGAACAACATGGACTTTCACAAAACAGGAAGTATATAAAATTCCTATCTAAGAGGACATACTGTAGATGGTAACAAAGTATCTTATTAAAGTAGAATAGAGGGAGGGTGAGAATCTCTATCTGTTTTTAATTGCTGTGTGTGCTCCTGTAGGGAGATCTTACATCCTGTTTGTCACCAGGAGTGAAATTATGTAAAATCTTCCAAAACCTGACAGAAGGTATAACCCTTGCCCACAACAGCTGGGAAGCCAAAGTTGCCTACCCTTGTGTTATGATACTGCAGCTTCACCTAATATGGATAAATGTGTGCTGTTACTTAGTTGTATTCTCTTCCTGCCAGCGCAGAAATGTCAGCTCAATGTAAGGCTGCAAGACCCCCATGGAGGTTGTCCAATCTCCTGCATGATACCTGACACACTCTCTTGGACGCAGAAGGAGTGTAAAAATGTTGCTAAACAAAACATTTATCAGTTATGTATTTCTGATAACACCTTTGCTATATGACATTTTTGAGCACTGAGCTCATTTAGGAAATAAGACTAACGGGGTTATTCACAAAAGGGTGAAGAATTAGGAGAAGGCAGGAGAAGTGAACAATCTAGGACAACATAGCTAAACTGTAAAGTGAGCTGAATTGGAGAATTTTTCCAAATCAGCTATGTTGTCCTAGATTGTTCACTTCTCCTGCCTTCTCCAAACTCTTCACCCTTTTGTGAATAACCCTGTAAGTCCTGCAGCCTGAATCTACTGCTCTGACAGGAAGCGAAAACAAGTGAATAATCAAACATTATCTCTCAGAACTATGCCAGTACTTTTATAACAATTCAGGTCTGGAGATTCTGATCATAACAAATTCTTAGTTCAAATTCTTGGGCCCTGTTTGTTTTTAAAGAAGCTGTTGAGTTCTCACTGGGCCCAACCATTTCATACAGTGTAGTCTTTCTTTATGATCTGTAGACATATACTAGATAATGAGGCTTGACCCAGGGAAAGAGTGTGAGCAGGCCTGAGATGCAGTCATACTCCATTATATTGCCCATACACAATATGGCACTATCAGGAGTCTTCAAGGACATCCTAGTGTGACATTACAGTGGCACAATATAGTCTAGAATTTTCCCAAACCGTAGACTCAACATATGCTCACCCTCAATTTCCCTGAAGAAGCTTTATTTAAGGTATTTGAGATGAACATACTCATGTACACTATCCCCCCCCCCCCCAAAAAAAAGGTCACCACTTGGATTTAGCTAAGCAAATAGGCCTTCATAGGATAATAGGTCTAGGTTCAGCAACGTTATATGCCCAAAAAAAATTAGGTCCGCTGTCTACCTGAATATACTGAATGACCAGGTTTTTCCATCAATGGATTTTCTCTTCCCTAATGGCACATTGGGTATATTCCAAGATGACAATGCCAGAATTCATCGGGCTCAAATTGTGAAAGAGAGGTTTAGGGGGCATGAGACATCATTGTCACACATGGATTGGCCACCACAGAGTCCAGACCTTAACCCCATCGAGAATCTCTAGGATGTGCTGGAGAAGACTTTACACTGTGGTCCGACTCTCCCATCATCACTACAAGATCTTGGTGAAAAATTAATGCAACTCTGGACGGAAATAAATGTTGTGACATTGCATGAGCTTATTGAAATGATGCCACAGCGAATGTGTGCCGTAATCAAAGCTAAAGGTGATCCAACTAAATATTAGAGTGTGTGACTTTCTTTTTTTTTTTGGCCAAGCAGTGTATTAAAAAGACTTTACACTAAGCCCCATTCTTCATCAACCAACCTGCACATGACTTCTGTTCGTCTGTGATCTGCTCCAACCTTCCCAGCAGAGCATCAATGTTTGTCTTGATCTGTGTGAGCTCTGACTTAATGGTCTGAATCTCATTGCTTCTTACTACAAATAAAAACAGAATGTCCTTATGTCATTGTCATTTATCATAGGCATTGTGGAGAAATTCATCTTCAAAGTTCACAACAGAGGCATTGAAATCTTAGCTTTCTTTACTATTACTTTCTATACCAGCAGAATCTTGCCAGCTTGCCAGCCCTCTAAAGTAAACACACAACAGGTGTTTCTAAGTTGTTATAAACCAATTGAAATCTAACTCTATAGTCCTTGATATGATCTTTAGAAACCTTTGAGAATTAATTATGTCAATGTACCAGCAGCTAAATAGGTCAGTCAGGGCTTGTTTTAGAGCTATTTTAGTGCTTGTATGTAAATGCTTTAATATGTGAATTCACACTTACATCTTAACTTGGCTGCACTCCCTGTGATGGCTGCTGATCTTGCGAGTAGCTTGACCGGTAGAGCTGACTTTACCCTTCGTACAAGAGGGACTGTCACACGTGGACGCTTTACAGGAACTGCTCGAGGAGCCGGTGACACTCTTCCTCGATATTCAAACAGCCTAGGTAGATGGAGAGAACCGATCAGCACAATACCCTGTAATGTATCACTTTATAGCATATGTATTAGCCCCATCTTATCAAAAGCCCTGTAACCCTTTTGTGCCAGTGGGCTCCTGTATGCGGACTCATGGGCATTATAGAAGCCTATTCACATGTGTAAAGCCGACTGCCGGTTTTACACTGGAAGTGATTCCAACCGAACATTCCCATGGGCTGTCAAACATTGCAGTGCAGGGGTAGCCCCACTGTGAGAGTTAATGAAAACATTACCCAGAGTTCTTCTTTATTAATAAAACATGGAGGTTTTCTGAAATAAGGATACTGTTGCTGTATATTGTGGCATGTCAGGAATTTATTCAATGAGACTTGAAAAGTTATAAAAGGGTCCACTTTAATACCAGCTCCTCTGCTCCTCCTCCACTTCATACTACTACTGCTAAAATAATAATAATAAATAAAATAATAATGTATTATTATATTTCTTTTTTACAATAATTGTCTAAAATGTCAATAATAAATATTTCCCATAATCCCTCTTTATCCATTGTTGTGGCTATAGCCAGCAGAGGGTGCTGTGACTCTACAACATTGCACATGCCACCCACACTCCTTCCAGCACGCCCCTGTGGGTTGCAGTCACTTAGAACTATTCCTTTCCCATAAAAGCATTCTTTGTTATCTGTGTGCCCACAATAGTACCATTTTTAATAGTAGCTCTTAAGGTGTTATGGCCCTTTTTCCTTTTCAGGCAGCAGCTTTAGTATTTGTAAGGGCTCATTCTGAAGGACACAAATACAGGCGTATGGGCAAGTGGCAGAAAACACACCATATTTGTGGTGCCTGTGAGCCTCAGGTGTTGTGTATTTGTGTCCATAGAATTGTATGAAACCAATACCCTGTAGATGGGTATACATGTGAAAATGCAAACATTGGCAGTTAAAGTAGATGCGGGTGGGCGTAATATTTGGGCCCTCTTTCCATTTTTTAGTATTTTCAGGCAGCGGCGTTAGTAATTTTAGGGCTCATTCCCACAGATGTAAATACAAGTGTAGGGGCATATAGACCAGAAGTTCCACTTCCCCTCCTCTCTCTGCCGACATCCATCACCAAGATGGCCGCGGGCAGGAGTCAATAAGACGACCGCAAATGCGCGATGCCGTCATTACCCTGTTACCCGGTCTCCGTTTTGGGTGTCACCCAGCCTCAGGACGCCCCTGCGTGATAAACATGCAATTGCATTCAGACCACCCCAAGTAACAACCTCCTGTGATTCTGAGCTGCCATGATTGAAAGAAATGAAATTCAATGAATGAAAGGGCCGGGCCAATCAGACTGAAGAGGAAAGGCAAGACACTGGAGTTCCTCCAGCCAGAAAATTAGGTTCTATCTGACTTGCTGCAGTTCTGATGTACATGGTGAGAAGCTCACAGTGTGCAGTAAAATCAGTAAGCAATTTCAGTCCAGGAGAGGAGCCTGAAAGACTGAAAGGAAGGTTGGAGTTCAGCTTTAATGTTCCCGGTCCGTGCACTAGATACTTTTCTTCTTGGATTTTAGTAATTGCAAAGGGAGTCTATGAGGCCGCCATTTGCACTGACTAATTCCTGTTACTGGAAACTCCAAAACGGGCAATAAATCACCAGGTGACCGGCCGAGATACACCGCAAACTCCAAAACTTTGACTCCATTTGTTGTCGTAATCGCCAAGCAATTGGAGACATAAATTGGTGGCTTCAATCATCCGCAAGGAGATGGAACTGAAATTGTCCCGATCAAATGCAGCGGAAAAATCCAATTTGATGAAATCGCCGCAGTTTTTTTTCCCGTTTCAATTCAACTGCAATTTTTTCTTTCAATAAGCTTTATTGATACTATTAATTTATTGTCCATTTTTGCTTCACAATCGAACAAATTCTGGTGGTCAATCAGCACCGAGGGTGGTAGAGTGCTTAGTTTCTGGCGATTACTTGTGACCATATTTGCCATATTGACTGAATATTGCCACATGTATGGTCAGCTTAAGCCAGGCAAAATGTGATCGTGATGATAAATACCATGAGGACAGATAAAGCCATTTCAGTGATGCTGTGTTATCACACTGAAAAAGTAAGGCTGAACTCCAAGCAGACAGAAAAAAACACCAACACAGGTACACTTAGTTTCTGGCGATTACTTGTGACCATATTTGCCATATTGACTGAATATTGCCACATGTATGGTCAGCTTAAGCCAGGCAAAATGTGATCGTGATGATAAATACCATGAGGACAGATAAAGCCATTTCAGTGATGCTGTGTTATCACACTGAAAAAGTAAGGCTGAACTCCAAGCAGACAGAAAAAAACAGCATCACAAGTAGTTATGTATTTATTTAAAAAAAAAAAAGTATTAATAATAATAAAATAATGAAAATAAATGTATAACTAAAAATAATAATAAAAAAGTATAAAAAATAAATGCATAAATAAAAATAAAATTACTAAAAATAATAATAGAAATAATACAAATAAACGGTACAAATAAAAATAATGAAATAAATGTATTAAAAAAATGAATATTACAAATAATAAAAAACAAATGTAAAAATTATCATTAAAACATGTATAAATACAAAAAATAGAACAAAAGCATTATATAAATAAAATAATAAGAACAAAAAATGCATCTTTAAAACAACTTCATTAAAGTGAGAGGCAATACTAAGTGACCAATCAGGCTGTTACTAAATGTTGTGGGGAACACGCTGACAAGATGGGAGAGCAAAAAGTTTATCTCATAAGTCTGTTGCTGCTACTTCACAGACCAATCACAGGCTTGGGCGAAGGAGGTGACCTAGCTGTGTTTCTTAACCCTTTTGCTGCCACAGACCTTTGGCAGCCAGGAGTGTGTTTACACTCCCTCAACTGACTGTCGGCTTTCATATAGAAGTGATTCAGGTGGCTCACTTCTACACGCCCTGCATGTGATCCCCCCCACACAATGTATTCTGAACTCCACTACCCTTCCAGTGGGCCCAGGACAGCCTTCGAAGGTGTCGGTGGGGAGAGTGGAGGGAGATCAGTGAACATTCGTTGGCTGAACTCCCCCTGTAACTTCCATTTTCATCCAAACCTGATCTCTGCTTGATCAGTTTCATTGGGCTGCAAAGGTGGTCCAATAGACCCCTGCTGTCTCCTTAAAGACGACCTGATGCCAGAAATATGCTATCACATAGGGACTGTTAGCTTTCTATTTGATAGCTATCAAATTAAGTGTCAAGAAAAGAGGATGAAAAAATTACAGGTAAACAAAGTTAACCAAAAACATATCTTAATCCCCCTCTGCCCGTGTGCACACACACAGATACAAATGTAAACACATGGGTTAGAAGTGCCTACTTATGAATACTACTATTGTGCTACACATGTTGGGTATCGCTGCACCTGCCAGAATGAGAGCAATAATTCTAGGGCCATTATTAAGGGTTAGCTCTAAACGGATGACCTGTACAAGCTTCTAAAGCAGGGGTAGCCAAAATCTGGCCTTCCAGCAAATCCCACGAGGCATTGCAAGATTCTCACAGCCACAGACATGACTCCTGGAGAGAGATGCATCATGGGATTTGTAGTTTCACCACAGCTGGAGGGCCGGAGTTTGGCTACCCCTGGTCTAAAGCATTGCTTATGGGCAAGTTTGGGATACCAACGTTTTTCCCCGTCTCACAGGCGCACACCATTTTGAGGCTAGACATGTTTGGTATCTATTTACTTGCCAAAATCTCTTCTTTTATATTCTACCAAAAAAATAGTACTATATTGTTTTTGTGTGAACTAAAATTAATTTGATTTTTTTTTACTGAAAATTTGGGTCTGACAAACTCTTGCACTAGTATTGTGTGAGATACAAAATTGCAACTCCCACCGTTTTATTCTCCAGGCTCCCTGCTTTCAGAAGATATTTAATTTAAGGGGGCTTTAAGCAATTTTCAAATGCTTAATCAATTTAAAATGTGTGCAATAAAAAAAAACAAAAAAAAACGCAAACACGACTGTGGCAGCAAAAGTGTTAAAGGTAATAGAAGAAAAAGTCAGCTGTGCTGTCCGGTAGGGCTGTGTACATCTCAGGATTGGATAGAAAGAAATACAAATCCTTTAGCAGGTAAACAAGCTCATATATATATATAT